GCTCCACGCGTTAGTGGGCGGTGCCACGCGTTAGTGGGCGGTGCTCCTCACGTTAGTGGGCGGTGCTCCACGCGTTAGAGGGCGGCGCTCCTCGCGTTAGTGGGCGGTGCTCCATGCGTTAGTGGGTGGTGCCACGCGTTAGTGGGCGGTGCTCCACGCATTAGAGGGCGGCGCTCCACGCATTAGAGTGAAGTGTTCCAGTGGGCAGAGGGAAAAATCAATCATCGCAAGAAAAACAGAGGGGGCCTTCCTGGGAAAAATGAGTCCCAAACGGAGCTCTGAAGGAGCCCGTGCACACGGGAGGTATAGAGGTGCCTTCTGACCTGGGGAGCAAGACTCCCCTCCCCCCTGGGGAGCCCCTCAGGGTCCACCGCTTTCCCTTTGTGCGCTCTTTGCCTGAAGCAAAGGGAGCTGTGCAGGGGTGGAGAGAGCAGCTCTGGCAGGAGGAGTCTGCGGGAGGAAGTGGAGGGCTGGCGCTGGCTGGGGGCTCCGCTGGCCAGCTAAGTGGCCAGTGGGCACTGAACTTTGGGAACAGCAGCGTCCAACAGCCGCAGTTCTTGAAAATGAAAACAGTGATTGCTTTAATTTTTTTTTTTTTTAAGTCAATAACCCATTGGAATTGCTGGTTTGCAACTATTTTGATTTCGGTTTCCACTTGGAAGCCCTGCTAAGGTGTGGATTCAAGGAGTGGATCCACCAGTCCGGATCCTGTCCCCTCTGTCTCCAGGGGCCCTGAGCCCGCCCGGCCCACAGGATGGCCTGTCCTGCACCAGGGTGACGTCATCCCGGGAATGCTTTATTTCTCCCAGGTTTTGATGAAGAAGGAAGTCTGTATGTTCTTAAAGGGGATCGCACGATTGAATTTGATGGCGAGTTCGCAGCGGACGTGTTGGTGGAGTTCCTCTTGGACGTAAGCATGTCTGCCTGCCGACCCTGAGTTTGGATTTAAAGTGCGAACAGAAAAGCTGATTCACCTCACTCTGCCTCGGACACATTTTGTAGGCTTCCCCCCCAAAAGAAAAGACAGTGTCTGTTTCCCAGTGCTATTCACTTCTAAGAAACTGGCTTTTAAGTCACTTTAGAAACCGACTCATCCAGAAACTCAGCAGAGGGACACAGATCGGATCTGTGCAGTAACATGCAAATTCTGTTAGCAATTGCACACCAGTATCCCCTGAACCCCCTGCTCCAGGGTGGTAAAGGGGAGCTGGGAATATGGGAAAGAGATGGCTGATCACCTGAGGACAGCGACAGTCACCTCCTTCCGCTCACACCAACACAGGAAGATGCAGACTATGAGCCCCATATCATACCCCACTCAGCCATGGAGGTAAAACACCCTCCGTCAAATCCATATGTGGGAGCAGGACTATGAACCCCCATATCATACCCCACTCAGCCATGGAGGTAAAACACCCTCCATCAAATCCACATGTGAGAACAAACAGAGGGGCCATTTGTGGGAGCAAACAAAGGGGCCAGCGCTATCCAAATGTTTTGTCCACAGATAAACTCACATTTTAACTAAGAGTTGTGAAGCCAAATGTTTTCTGTGCAGAAAAGAATAGCTACACATGTGACTCCTCACCTACGAGCAGCAGCCTCGCCTTCCCTCCCTTCTGCAGAGCCCAGGCGCTGCCCAGCCTCACCCACTGGCCAGGGGCGCTTAGATGCTGAACAGTGTGAGCAGCCTGGAGAAATGGGCCTGGACTCTGCAGAATTTAGACTTGAGCCCACGAGAGCTCTTGTTCTGTTTTTCTCTACAAATCACAGATTACACTGTTGTCAGTGAATTGGCTTTGCCCTCAAACAAACACATCTTCAGTTGGACAAAGAGTAAAAAAAGCTAGCAGCACATTTCCTTATTCATAGCCAATGAGAGAAATTCTGGTTCCCGCTCTCTTTTCAAAGGGAAGAACTTTCCCGAGGCCGTCAGCAAATGTATCCTGGAAATTCCTTGACCAGGATGGGGTTGCATGCTATGCTGGTCACTGGCCAGCAAGGGAAATAGAATCGTCCCCAAGCCAACCCACCACCCCTGAGAGGAAGTTAGTCCCCCTCAGGCTTTGCCTGGGTGTGCTTTTAGCAGGAGGCTAGGGTGGGCCTGAGGGACTACCACAGAGCCTACAGCTTCCCTCCCTGCATGCTCTCTGCCGGGAAAAACAGTTCTCCTCTTACTTGAACATGTCTGTGTGTGTGTGTGTGTGTGTGTGTGTGTGTGTGTGTGTGTGTGTGTTACAGCTAATTGAAGACCCAGTGGAAATCATCAACAGCAAACTGGAAGTCCAAGCCTTTGAACGCATTGAAGACCAGATCAAACTCATCGGCTATTTCAAGAGCGAGGACTCGGAATGTAAGTCAGCCTTCACCCCAGCCAGTCAGTCTCAGGGGCAGAGTCTAAGATGTGCTGGGCCATCGGCATACCCTGTCCTGGGTGGAACAGGAAAAGCCCTGAGAACTGGAACACAGGCGCGGAAGTACACAAGTGGGCAGAGGAGCTGAGAGAGCGCTGAAGTTGGGCCACGTGTTCTAGTCTCGAAGGGGACGAGCGTTTCACAGAAGAGAAAGGAACGCTCCTCCACTGTCCCTCCTAACCCCCACCCACCTACTGGCTGGAGTCTCCCTAAACACAGGGCAAAAGTGGTCAGCTGCCGTGCTTACCAGTAGGAGAGTTTCTGGTCAGTTGGCCAACATTAGAGGAAAATCGGGTAGGGATGGGCTTAGCAGCTGCAGCACAAAGCGGAAAATCGCTGGCGAGCCCACAGCTGGCCAGCAGGCTGCCAGCACCACCCCACCCTCGTACGTTCCCTCTAAAAGCTTTGTGGCCAGCTGCGGGCGGGTGCTGGAGTAGATCATGGCACTACCACCCAGGCAGGCATGAGAGGGTGGTGAGTGGGAGGCAGGAAGGCCAGGCCAGCGGGGCTGACTACTTGAGTATGCTTTTTCAAACTGCTTCAACAGCACAACTCCAAGTGAGCTGATGTCAGCCTTGGAGAGAGGGAAATGTGAGAAGGAGCAGGCCTGACTGCGAAAGAGAAACTGGTAGTGCTCTAACATGGGGAGGTTCAAGTAGGCAGCTAGGGTTGTTTTGGTAAACTCCAAAATATTTTGAAATCATTGCAAAACTGCTTTTTTATCCCATCTGCCTACTGACACCCTTAGCCATCTTGTCAACCACCTACCAGCTTTCTGTCTCCCACGACCCAGCCTAACTGTCTTTTTATTCCATAAAAGTCTCTACTCATCCCCTTTGGAGCATGAGGAGGACAGTGGTTAGGCAGGAAATAAAGAGGGAGGCCTTTATTTTATGTTCAGATTTCTGTATAGATGCTGCCCCCCTGGGCTGTTTCACCTGCCCCTTTCTGCTTCCTCTCCTTACATTTCCGTCTCTCCCCTTACCCCTTTCTGTCCCTCCCTCTCCATTTGTCTTCATCCTTTTGCTTCTTCTTTCTCCTCCTTCATTAAACTCAGGGTAGCGGAGAAGGGAGGCCAGGCCAAGCTCAGACTCGCCCCCCAAGAGTAACTCTATCTCTTGTAGTTACTTAGCGTGCGTCACCTGTAACTAACTGTTAGCCTGTGCCAGGAGTTTGACAAGGATGATGATTTACCATGATTTCATTCTGGCAACTGGCTGTAAGTGATAGCTGTTATCATCCATACTTTAATGATGAGAAAATGAAGGAACAGATAGGTTAAATTAACCCATTCTATCGCACCAAGTAAGTAAATGGTAGAGCCAATATTTACATCCCAGAAACTTTACTTTAGATTTTACACTGAACTCCCAGACTCATTTGCAGACTTCACAGACTTTGCCAGCCCATGCCACACGTGATGGAGCCGGTGGCCATGCCGGTAACTTGGAAAGGGTCTGAACCTCATGGAAAACTCATATTTTGACTCTTTCATATAATAATAGTAATAATAGAAATAAAATAATAGGATGATATCAAGTAATACATGGCATAACTTTTCCAAATAAAGTAGTTTTAGATTTTCCATGGTAATCATATTTGTTTGAAGAATATACTTTCAACATTATGCTTTCTGCCTGAAATAGCAACGCATTAAAAGAGAAAGGTTTTAAATGATCTCTTTAAATCTTGATAGTCCCCACTTTCTGAGACTTTGCTTGCACAGGTGAGAGGTTGTAAAGACAGGACACACCTGCATTTTCTTTGATGGTCGAATAGTCCTTTCTTGTTCTTGAACAGAATTTAGGTAACCTAATCTCTAAAATCCCTTCGAAGATATGAACATTCTTCCTGTCTGTTGTCAATTTCTTTTTCACTGGCCATATGTAATGCATTTAGGATAATTTGAGTAAATCTCAAATCCAGCTGAACTTTATAATAGCATATACCTCAAAATTAGAATGAAAAATGTCCTCAGGAATTGCTCTAACATCTTACAAACTTTTCTAAAGAGTTAGATAATAAAAGTACTAGGCACCATCTCAACCTCTTTTTAAGGTTGGCTCTGTTCTGGAATGTATCCGCTTAGTACCCTGTGGGCCTCCGAGGGCTTTGCAGTGTATAGTTAACTTCATCCGGGATTCAATGAAGCCCAACGTGTTTCAAAGCCAATAATTTTCCTTTAGAATTTTTTCAAAGTGAATATAACGCACTATATGTTGTTTTGATTCTACTGTTAGCACATACAGTCTAAGCAAAACTCTTCTTGGGCCATTAGCCTACTTTAGTGCAAAACAGCAGAGACAGGTCTTCTTGGCCCATAATTTCACCTACAGCTAACAGAAGGGGGAGCAGGCCTGGATGCCATTGGTGTCGTCTTCCTATAGCGATCGTTCATGTGGATGCATCCATGAATCAATACTACTTGAATTTCATGTTTTTCATCATGAACTCAAAGGAATCTTTGTCCATTGTCACAATGATTGCCTCTCCACCAGTGCACGATCTTGGGCAGTGTTCCCAAAGTCTGTTTTGAAGGGTTCATCTACTTATTTGACTGTCTCATCCCCAGTGACTTGGTTTGATTTATCTTTGCAAGATAAATGATGTTGTTCCAAGCATCACTCTCCACCGTTTCTTTCTAATGGGTGCTATGGCCCATGTCTAGTTACTAATGTCTGCACATTCACCAGACTAAAAGACTTTTTTGAATCAAAATGAAAGAAAAACACTTGGTGTTTTTTTTTCTTTTTTTTCCAGTTGTCTAAACTTTAAGCCATTGTAACCCTGTTCTCCTTAAGGTGGATAGTCTGTGTTAAGGACCAGCTGAATTTATGGCGTCTGGTAGGCACCTCTCACTACCTCTTTCTTCTTGTCTTACAAAGAAAACACATCTGTAGGTGTGTGTGTGGGGGGGGTGCTGTGGGGTAAACCCCCCAGGACAGCACTTGAGAGTCCTGTATTTCTGCTGTTGTTTGAGGCGTCTGATCAAGGAAGTATGACAACACAGAAGGCTCTGGCTTTGCAGACGGCCCCAGGCTCCTCCACAGAGCAAGAGTGGTAGAGAGACAGTAGAGATCCTGGAAGATTTAAAGCAGAGGTAGACAGGGATGTCCTTGGGATAGAAGTACCCTGAGCTTTGTGCCAAACTAGAAAGGACTTGGAAGAGACAGCAGGCTGCATCTTCCAAGGAGGTTGCTTAAGCTCTGGGTGCATGAAGCTTAAGCATGTAGTAAGGGGTGTTAGTGTTGGAAGAACATGACAAGAACTTCCTGGGGGAGCTCAGTTTCAGGTTAGGAATGCCAAACTGGGACAATCCAGAATGGAGAGGTCAATATCCAAGATGGGAAAGCTGGAAAAATGGGGGAGAGGGGGAGATGAGGAAGTACTAAGCTAAATCTATGATAAGCTGGAGGTCGAAGGTTGACTATTCAGTATCCAATAGCAGAAGGAGAAAGAGGCATCAAGGTGACAGTGAGGCATCAGGAGGGACTGAACTGCATCAACAGAGAACATGAGAGCAGGAAAAATATAGTGACCAAATGAATCAGAGAGAACAGAGGGCCAGATCAGGTGTTCTAGAAAAGCTGCTATTCCGGTGAGGCTAAAGCCATATTTTCTTTTTCCTTTTAAGATTTATTTATTTGTGTATACAGAACTGGGGTACAGGGCAGAGATGCCGAGGGGAGAGGCTTTACCAGAGACAGAGTGTGGAGCAGAACAGGCAGATCGACGAAGTACATGCTGAGGGGAGCAGGGGGCGGGTCAGAAGAGGTCTGCCATGCCATGTGGATCTCCTCAGGGGCAGGCGGGGATTGAACTCATGCGGAAGTGGCTTAAGCTTCTTAGTGCTGTGCTTTAACCCACTGTGCCACCAAGGAGGGCCCTAAAGCCATATTTTCAAGCAGCATCTTGGGGAATGAACTTGCTGCAATCTTCATCTTAAGGAATAGAGATTAGCTCCCCAAGAGAAGAAGAGCATCCTCTCAACACAGTGCTAGCCAATTTCCCATCTGAGCAGGGGTTTTGAAGGTCTGGAAAAATCCAGTAGGGACAAGTGGGTATGAGAAAGAAGGAACAGAGGATTCTGTGGGTCGCACTGTTGCCTTGAATAGAGGTCAATAGCTTATTGCTGTAACTATTTAAGTGGCTATATCGTCTCTCTTCTCTGTTCACTCTCCAAATCTCCTACCCATCTTCTTCCCCTTCCCTCTGCCCCAACTATCAGGTCATATTATAACCCAGTTACCTGTATAAAGATAGTTTTTATATGAATGTGTATCAGTATGTACAGATACTGTAACTTTTCAACTACCGTCTCACTGTTCTCACCTCTATTACAGTAACGAATGCATTGCATTGTGGTGCTCTAATCCATAGCCTTAAGTTTTGAGCTTTTGTAGACACCGTGTCACTCATCTCAGTGTCCCCTGAGCCAGAGTTAATCTTGAAATGTGTTTTTGATTGATTGCTTGGAAATTCTGCATTTACCTGGAATTATTGCAAAAGCTATACTCTGATAATTAAGGGATATGGAATCCCATAAAATGGAAGAAAAGTTCATCTTGTTTTGAATGAATCATTGGCTCATGGCTCTCAGGATTCTGGACAACAGCACAACCACCCCCATTGCCAACCCCATCGAAGCTGAGGCTTGAAATGAAGGTCTTTGCCAAGTAGCTCTCCAGGGGGCAAAGCACAGCATTGCCATGATCCTCTTCCCACCAGTTTGCAATCAAGTGTGGCATGACCAGGGGTTGGCTTGATTAATTTCAAATCATCCTTTCAAAGAATCAGAATGAAAAAGGAAAACTTAAAAAAATAGGGGAAGCAAAATTAGTATTTACCAAAAAGGGCTCTCTCTTACGAAGTTTAAAATACTTCTGTGATGTCACTTTTGACAGAGTTGCCCTGCACACAACTTTCTTCTTACTCAGTGATGATTAATTGATGCCTCAAGTGCACTCTCTAGAGGTGACATCTCCAGATAGCAGTGAGGTTAAGTTTCTGCTTTTTTAAGATTTAATTATTTATACATACAAGAACTAGGGTACAGGCCAGAGGTACAGGGGGTGAGAGGATTCACCAGAGACAGAGTGGGGAGCAGAACAAGTGGGTTGACTAAAATACACTGCTTAGGGAGCAGCGGGGAGACAGGAGAGGTCTGCTGAGCCTTGTGGGTCACTCCCTGGCTGGGGATTGAACTGGTGCTGCAGGGGCTGTGGGCAGCTTCACTGTGCTGCTCTTTAACCCTTTGCATAACTAGGGAGGGCCCAAGGTTGAGATTCTTTTGGAGTTTGACAGTTCTGTCTCTCTCCCTGGTCCTCTCACTTTCCTCCTTCCCCCACCTCCTACCCTTTCTAATGACCACTTTCTTAGAAGTGGGGTTATGAGTTCCTTTGGGCAATTGAATAGTAGCTAATTCAAACTTCTTGGAGAAGGCTCTGAATTTACATAATATTAAATAATCAGTCATATAAGTAATATCTACTAAAAAAATTATCTAATAAGATCAATTGACTTTCTGCTCTCTCCACATCTTTAAAAAAAGAAAATGTATGTAGTGTCCTTCTTGAAATGCCTCTCCCTTTTCTCTGTTTTTCCTCATAGACTACAAGGCCTTTGAAGAGGCAGCTGAACACTTCCAGCCTTATATCAAATTCTTTGCTACCTTTGACAAAGGGGTAAGTATCTATGAAACTCCCATTTGAACACTTTTGTAGACATGAAGGATTAGTGTCCACTTTTCCAGAGTATCATCATGGTTTCTAACCATCACCCATCCATTAACACCTTCCCCAAAAGTCTTAGAAATGTGGCAATAAATCACTATTGACTGAGAGCTGAGTACAAAGATGAGTAATCCAGGGGATGTAAGGGTGTTCCCAGAAGCACACAGTGAAAAGTGACCGCACACTCCTCACCCTCTGGAGCATAAGATGGGAAGCATTATGAGCATTATGAGCCAGCGTGTGCAGGCACACTCATCTCTGCTTCCTTTTTCTTAAGAGCCATCTGCTGCTTTCCTGCTGCAAATGCTTCCTGCTTTCCAGCGTTAGGGTAAGGGGAATGAAGGAGAGAAGCATTGACTATCTGAAGCCCTGAGTGCCTCAGAAATTCACCCTCATCTTCAGGACATGTAGTTGTTGGTCTCTATAATTCAATTGCTCTTTATTTCTATATGTGGAAAGTGCTTTGATAAACAAAACACACAAACAAAGAAAACAAAAGAGTAGAGATAGAAAAAACAAGTCACTGGTTAATTTACTGAGGATCTTTTGTAACAAAATACTCTCTTCTGGCTTCAATCACTACTAAAATGGCGACTTTTCATTCACAGTTGCCTTCAATTTGGTATTTTGCACTTACACTATCTGTACTCCTTGGAACATCTCCAAAGAGTAAGAACCCCACTTCTCGGATGAGAAAAGAGATTCAGATGTAAGTAGTAACTTAGGTCTCCAGCAAATTCATGGTCGTGCTGAGATCCTAATTTAGGACAACTCGTGCCTAAAAGCCATGCCCTTTCCTGTCATCACATCATAAAGTTCAAGGCTCTGCCTTTGAGGGACAGGGTGTACACCCACATACCACACTATCACATCCACAGCACATCTACACAACATACATTCATACAACATTCAGACCTAACACACACTACCTCATACAGCCTCACCTCCACACCCACACATATTATCTCACACACACACCAGTTAAAAGCCAAAATTATTGTATTTTCTAGGACAAATAAATCTAGATCCTGATCAAACTCAAAGTTAATCAGCAAGTGGCCTTCTGAGGAGTAAGAGTTGTAAGCTGGGTTCATGGCCTTTATGCCATGAGGAGTGCAAGTATTTTGTGAAAAATGAGAGAAAGCCTCCTTCCTGGTGCAAGAAAAGAACGTGAAGAAGAGATTGCCATTTATATGTTTATGAAACTGAAGAGATTCATCTCATATGTCTATATGTATGTATGTGTATATAGAGAGGGAGAAATAGAGAGAGAGACAGAGAGACAGGGATAGTGAGCGAGCAACTACTTCTTTCTACAAAACTATATTCCAGGAGAGAGATCTCTAATGTAAGTAGTATTACCTAAACTTGAAGAAAAAATTCTCAAATTGGTTGGATTAGACTTGGGAGAGATTTTGAGCAAGAACAGTAATTGTTATTGATCGCAATTGTCATTGATTTCTTGTGTACCAGGCTTTGAGCTGAGAGCTCTATCTAGGCTTTCTCCTTGAGTCCTCTCAACCCCCTGTGAGGGAAGGATTAGAATTCCCCTCCGATAGAGCATGAACCCAGGCACCAGGAGATTAAGTGATGGCTTCTGGCATCCTCATTGGTAACAATGAACCACAGGCCAGCCTGGGTTCAAAGCCAGGCAGGCGCACAGGAAGCCTCAGCAAATGTCAGCCAGCTGCGAGTACTGTTGTTTATAAGTGGCAGTTGTCCAGCCCTGGAGAATGGTGGCTGGGGGATGACAGTCGAGGGAAGGTGCAGGAGAGAAGGTAGCATAAACCCTTCACTGAGCGGCCAGGAGTGACTAAAGTGTCCTCTATGTAATTACGTACTGAGGAAAAAGAGTCGGTAGACAAGCTGACCCATGCAACAAAGCTTGGGTTCTTAGAAGGGCGGCCCAGTGCTTAGTTCACAGTACAGTCTGCTTTCAGACAAGACTCTGGCCCAACCATATGCTTCATGCCTGTGACCCATGAAGAAGGTGAGGTAAGGCTGTAATTAAAGACCAGAGGCTCTTCACTGAGAACTGTAGACCCTGAGTCATAAGTGGCACTGTTGACGGAGCCTTGTGGATTCATACATTTCCAGACAGAAGGACACGCTCTAGATGTACAAGGAGGGAAGGGCTCTGGTATTCAGAGCACTCAGTGCTATTTGGGAATTTGGAAACTTGCACCCATCGGCAGAGGGGGGAGGACATGCCAGTGCACAGTGGGCAACAGTGGAGTCCAGAAAGCATGTGTGTATCAGTAGGTGCCTCAGTGTTGCCTGGCAAGGGGAGTTGGAGCAGAAGTAGCTGGAAGGACCTGTTTGTGAGACACAGCCTAGGGATTCTCAGAAAGACCTGGAGGAGGGGAGGTACTGGAGGGGGATTTGAAATCCTGAGAGAATAGGCCAAAGAAGCAGTAATATGTCCCAGAGATGAAAAAACCAACTGCCAGACACAGGAAAGCCAAATGGCGATGAAGCAAATAGAGCAGGAGAGACTCCGAGGCTACGGGGGGGTATCCACTCCATGTACCTCATGCCTAGAGTTTTAATCACCCCATGCCACCTCCCCACCGACTTGATCCTTAGAGTGAGCAGTGAGAAGCAAAATCATTTTCCCTTTGAATCAGCCCAGGTGGGACGACAGGCGCTGTGATTACGCAGTGGATGGAGAGGTTGGGAGGGCCCAGAGGCCATGCACAGGTCTCCTGTGCAATGACTGAAATGTCCTACGAACTGGTAGGAAAAGCCTCTGCTTCAAAATCTGAACACATGCAAATAAACAAATAGCCATTTCACTCAGTTTTCTTGTCTTGGACAAAATCTATTCCAACTAGTTTTTTTTTTTTTTTTAAAGGCATGAAAGAACTTGTTAGATAGACCTGTTCTATTTTTAATAGGGCAATCCATTTTTAGATCATTGTTGCACCTATGATCTTGGGCTGGTCCCAGAACAGTGGCTCAGATACACTGGATGTCCCTACCATTTCATGGAATAAAGAAGTGAATTGATGCCCCAACCAGTCCTTACCATCTCAGGTACAATTAAAAGAAAGGAAGACACAGGTTCCCTGAGAAAAGAGACCAGGGCACTCAGTGGCCAGGGAGGGAGCTAGAGGATCTCTGAGGGAATTTTTCTCAGGGCTTCCAAGGTTGAAACTGAAAAATATCATACTGCAACTTGACATTCATGATCTTAGCTCAGCACAGCAATCTAGACACAGGATTCAGGGACCAGAGACACCACCCCCACATACGTATATGTGAGCAAACTCATGACGCACACATGGGAGCCCAAACTGCTTCCCGTGAGAGTAATTCTGCTGAGTTCCTCTCACCCTCATTTAATTCCAGCAGACCAGGGTGCAGGATGAGTTGACAAGAGCGTGTCACCAGAGGGACAAAGAAGCCATGCACAAACCACAAGCTGCACCAATATCATGCCCTTAGAAGGTCAAGGAGAAGGTCATTTTCAAATGAGAGAATTCGCAGGGTAGAGTGCCCCTCCCCTACTGAGCTGGAGTCCAGGCTCTGTGCCCTCCCAGGCTATGATCTTGACCGAGCACATACTCCAATTGTGCCTCTGGCTCATCGTTTGTAAACTGAGTCATGACAACAGTTCTTCCCTCACATATCGAAGCCATACACCAAAATGATTTGTTGGAGCAAAGAATTCCACGTGCTCATTCACTACCGCTTTTGGTCACTGGTCACTTTCCACCTCAGGAAAATACACTTTCCTGGTTCCTAGAACATGTAGAAAGAAAACTCAGAAAACCCGAGCCCAAGGTCCTTTCGAACGCTTCATTCCGTGATGGGACCGGTTTGGGCAAGAACTGTGTAAACCCAAACACTGGTTGGCTACTTGCTGTCCCTGTCCCCAGCCCATTCTTCTGCCATATCACCCACACCCTGCCCCTGCGGAAGAGAGGAAAGGTAAGAGAAACCTCACACCACTCGGTCCTTCCCTGTCCCTTAAAATCAACATGGCCAAAAGCTCCTTTGGCTGCCTGTGGCTCTCAACATGGCCTGCTTTTTTAGTTCTGAGTAGGAAGCTGGAATTTCTTTCCCTTAAGTACAATAAGAAATGCCTTTTGGAAGACAGTGACCTGGAACTAATAGCAATTGATGGCGAAAACCGTGGAGATATCAGTGTTTCCTCAGAACAGACCTTGTGTAACGGCTTACATAAGTCCGCCCTCCCTCCCTCCCCTTGGTCCTGGCCGCCTGAGCTACTGCCCCGTGGTCCCCGCCCTGGCGCTGAGGCAACTCCTTCAGCTTCAAGGGAGCCACTGTTCATCTGGGCTCTCCAAGACCACAGCTCAGAACTAAGAAAGAATAGCATTTGGTTTTCTACACAGTGGTGCGCATTCCAGGCCTCTCAAATCATCCCCCCAAAAGAGGCTGCTTTCAGCGGCCCTGCAGGCGAGCACAGCACCCCTCCTGCCAGGAGAGGCCGAAGGGCAGCCATGAGCCACGGCCCCAGGCCTCAGCTGGGGCCTGTCACCCTATGCCACAGGTTCTCACTGGGCACGCTCCAGTCTTAGCCCTGAAAGTCCACGTCCCAGACAGCCCCTCCTTCAGGACGGGGAGACTCACATACAGAGGGGAGACTTCCCAGAGCCAGAGAACTCACCCCACGGAGTCCAGTGCCGAGCGAGAAACCCAAAGCTCGCGCTTCAGCCTCTGTTGTAATTAGGTGAACAGGCTGACTGAGAACAGCTGAGTGGGCTGGGCCCTGACCACAATACCTACATCCTTTCAGTAGTCCTGCCAATGGCCTATCAAAACTGGTTCAAGTAAATCAATCCATATGCCCAGGACTCGGAGCAGCTCTGCTCACGAGCGCCCTACCCCCCACCCCCACATCCCGCTCTGACCTTGCTTTCTCTCAGTCTGCCCTTCCTGGATCACAGGAGGAGGCTGTGATCCAGGTCTCTGGGAGGAGTTCCTGTCACTGCAGCGTTTAAGTCACAACTGCAGGTGCATGCTCATGGCTTTGCAGAGGACACACACAGTTCTTGCAGGTGGATAATCTACCATGATCCTAGACCAGCCCCCAGGATGCCATTGTCATATTTCTCATCGTTTCAGGTGGCCAAGAAGTTGTCTTTGAAGATGAACGAGGTTGACTTCTATGAGCCATTCATGGAAGAGCCCATCACCGTTCCCGACAAGCCTCACTCCGAAGAGGAGCTTGTGGAGTTTGTGAAGGAGCATCAAAGGTGCCCCACATGGTCTGCAGGTGGTGGGAGAGGGACCCAGGGCCTGGAGGATGGAGAAGGGCCTCCAGTCTTGACACTTTAGGCCCCCAAAAGCAACAATAGGAGCTTCCTGCCCCAGTAGAGCCCAACTCAGTGATGTGGCTGTGCTGGACACTGACCCGTGGCATTGACCTTGCTACATTTTCTGAGTGTGGACCCCTCCTCTCTGTGAGACCCCTCCTCCCAGTTGGCATGTCCACTCAAGATCAGAGCAAGAAATAAGCGATGCAGTGGGAGCAATCATGATTGACAGTCTCCTCAAGTCCCAGGCTAGAGGCTTGTGGAAGCTATTTTACCTAAGCTTGGACACTATGGGGTAATTATTATTACCCTAATTTTACAGATCAAAGATTGAGTTCTAAGTAGTTAAATAACTGAGCCTATCAAGTAGTTAAATAATTGAGCCCTAGTGACATGCCCACCATTATTTGCTAATATCTACAAAGAAATGAAACCATGAGAAAAACACAAGTCCTGCCTGCTTCTCCAAACAGCCCCCAAAGGGATTTTGAAGAATCCCCTAAAACTACTGTTCTAGGCTGGGGACCCCAAAATGTGCTGGTTTCTCTCCCAGGCTCCTTGTTCTAGATCTGCTCTGGGCCCTGGGGCGGGGTGCCCATGTGTGAGGGGAAGACGGCGCCACACCCCAAAATGACCCGTGCTCTCTGACGGGTTGCTAGTAGTAAGTAGACTTTATAATCCTTGGGTCACCTGGATCCATGAAAAGGCTGAGTTTTAGACCCAACTCGCTGTGTGACAGAGCAAGACAGACCTGCCCCTTCTCCCTAGTGGGGAACAGGGTCCCAGAGCTCTTCCTGTTCAGATGGCTGCAAACATTGCACCTTACCTTTGGCTGTGCTGCCGACATGTGTCTGCCCTGGGGTCTCTACTCAAGGAAACTTATCTTTCTTTCCCTCCCAGACCCACTCTGCGGCGCCTGCGGCCGGAAGACATGTTTGAAACGTGGGTAAGAAAGTGTTAAACTCACCTGCTCTGTCGAGGCTGCTGTATTTCCCCAGGAGGAGTGACCCTTTAAGTTCCAAAACAAACCACCTCTTATTTGCCTGGGGTGGCTGTCTGGATGGAGCGTATTTGCAATGCCAACAACATCAAGCCCAACCAGGACCCAGTACTCTATGCAGCCACTTTAAGCCTCTTTCTGCTACCCACCAGGCAAATTCTTCTTCTTCTTCTTCTTTTTTAAAGATTTATTTATTTATGCATACAGAACTGGGGTACAAGCCAGAGGTGCAGGGTGGTGAGACAGAGCGGGGAGCAGAACAGGCAGATCGACAAAGTACACTGCTGAGGGGAGCAGTAGGGAGACAGGAGAGGTCTGCCGCGCCATGTGGTCACCTCCGGGGTAGAGATCAAACTCACACTGAAGCAGCCACAGCTTGGCTTGGCTTCACAGTGCAGCAGTCCAACCCACTGCACCACCAGGGAGGGCCCCAGGCAAATTATTCTGAGACTATTTCACATGGAGACTACAGGTTTCCCCCGGGTACCCCGGATATCAGTGGTAAGCCCGGGCAATGGAGTCAGCAATTCAGGGGCTCCAGTCCAGAACCTGCTATCCCGAAGCCTTGCGTCCTGCAACCCATGTGGTCCTTTGAGCTTTCCTTTCTGGATCTAAACTCAGCACTTTCGTAAAGACGGTAGTTACTCAATGAATGGCAGCTGTTTTTATAAATCCCAACTGAAGTCTCTGCAAAGTGTTGATTCCGACTGTCCTCATCTGGGTGTCCTAGACAATGTGGGCACCTTGGGGATACACCTTCCCACCTGACTCAACTTCATCCAAAAATCTATAACCAATACCAAAATTCTATAGTGTTTTTCAAAGTATTTCTTGTATCCTTTTACTTGGACAGGATGTCCAGCAAGGATCGTTCAAGTCCCCAGTTTACCGGGGCACTCTGATGACCATATGGAAACATAACTAATAAGTATTATCTTGGGATTTCAATTCAGACCATCTGGAGCCAAATGTCATGTCCTGTCCCTAGAGGGGCCATGTCCCCAGCATGTACCACTGGAGGGCGGGTGTAGGAGGGAGGAACATGGGGACATTTACCTATTAATTCTTTAATTCTAAATCCAAAGTGACGATGAAAAGGACCATGGAGTAACTTGACACTTTCTTTTCAACTGGCAGCAGCTTATCTGGATGTGTGAAGGTAGAACAAACATTTCATAAGACACAGCAAGGTAAATAATCCAGTCTGGAGAAGCCAACGATTTAAGACAACCCAGCACAATAGAAACATATTTTCCTAACATTTCAATCTTAAAAAAAATTTTGACCTGTACAAGGTCTGATTCTGAGATTTTAAAATCATGAAAGGAGATAACAGTGCTTTATTTGTAAAGCACTGTTCCTTTTATTTTTCACTGAAAAGTAATTTCATATATATGGAAAATAGTGCAAAGAAGCTCATGATCTCTTAACTCAGGTTCTCCAAATGTAAACATTTTGCCAATTGTGTTTGTCAAATGACAGAGACAGACAAACAGATGGCCAGATGGAAGGGCGAATAGAGATTAAGACAGTTTTTTTGTTTTTTTTTTTTTTGACTTTGTGAGGGTAAACAAGAGACACAATTTCCCTTTACCCATAAATACTTCAGATGTTTTCTAAAAATGACTTTCTCTGTCATGACCCTAGTTATTGCAACGGGAAATAAGCCCTAGCTGGGTTCTCTCATCTCATCTATGGCCTTATTAAATCGACGGGCTGGCCCACTCATGTCCTTTATAGCATGAGAAAAACAATTTTTTTCCTGGCCCAGGATCCGATCCTGAATCATACATCTGCATTTGGTTGTTAGAATTCCTCACTGACCTTTTGTGTGGAATAGGTTCTTGGTCTTTCTGTATCCATAAAACCGCCACTATTTTAAATCGAGAATGTTCTGTTCTGTTCTGCTATGCCTTTATCCTGAGATCTTTATTTTCTTCATCCCTAAGGGATATTTTAATTATCTAGGCTCCCACAAAAAAATTGTTGCAGCCTCTCTCAGGCCTTTGCACACAGACACAGCGGCACCAAAGAAACTAACATCACCATCTTTGCCCCTGATCCCCACACTGCCCCACAGAAATGCTCCCTCTCTTGGTGTCAGAGGCAGATGCTGAAAGCGCCCCCTGTCAGGCTTCACTGGGACACACTCTGCTCTCTACTTAATGACCAAGAGAAGTCAGAGCTTGGCAATCACAAAAATAACTGATGGTTCACGGTCTCCGTGTTACTATATATTCCATTGCGTTCTAATTGGAAAAAGACTGTGTACTGAATTGAACAGGTAGAGAAAAGGGCAGCTGGGCTGGCTTATTTCTTTCAACAGCCATCTTGAAATGCCCACACAATTGCCCAGAACCCTCAGCAGACCTGCCCTGTCCCTCACCCAGCGAAGGCCAAGGCTGAAGGAACACAGGTTCTCCAGACTCAGCTTTACGTTGTGACAGAAAAGCAGAAAGCAATCTGTCAGAATCCCCAGTCCTCCACCCCCC